ACGGGGGAGGAGGGTAAACGTCGAGTCGCTGCAATAAACAATAACTCCGAAAGGGATTAAGCGCAGCATGTCTGGGAAGGCGCGCCGCGGATTTAACGTTAACTGTTTCATCTCCGAGAATAGAGGGGGGCGCACGATGGGTTTCCCCTCCTTTCCGTTGCTCCCTCCCGTTACAAAGTGCGAAGGGTCCTGCCCGTTTCGGCAGCGTTACCCTCGTGTACGACTGCCCCTCCAAACAAGGGGCAGGGCTTCAGACTCAGGCTTGGGCTTGGCAATGGCTGGGCTGAGAGAGCCCCTCTTCCCTGGAACGAACGAAAGCTTAAGGAAAGTTATACTCTCTGTACTACAACTCCCAGAATCCCCCAGCCACCACGGGGATTCTGGACCTGGTCATTTAACAGGGCTTTTCCTCGCGCCGCTCGCCGGAGTCCCGCGCCAAGGACTGAATGCGCGAGGGTTGCGCCTCCTAAAGCCCTTCCACCGCTTCCTCATCTGGGCGGCGACGATGGCTTTACTTTCTTACTGCTCCTGAGTATTATATTAGTGTTACGTTTTATTTATTGTTGGAAACCTCCCAGCATAGGGGCGGTGTACAAATCAAATTTAAAAATACCTTCTCGGAAAAGCAGCTCCCTCGCACTCTTTTACAAATCTCTTGCAGGTGACTGAGCGACAAAGGCAGCGGCCCTTACTTTTCATTTCTCTTTCCCTCTGGGAAACGCGGCGGGCTTCAGAGCCGGTCTTTCCCAAAGGGAGAACAGCTGGAGAGCGCGGGTGGACCCCAGAGAACCGCCCTCTTCTCTCCGGGAATGGCCGAGGCTGGCTGTGCTTTTTTGCTCCCAAAGAGAGTGAGGGCAAGCGCGGGAAGCCGCAGCGGGCCTTTGCCCTGTTGGTGCCCTCAGGTGGGTGGCCAAGCAACAGAGAGGGCTCCCGAGAGCAGCCGCCCAGCTAGGGCTGGAGATGCCCTATCTGTAGCCATAGTTGCCCTCACACTAAAAGACGGGAAAAACCTGCTGATACATGGGCAGGCAAAATATTGCGTGTGAACCTGGAACGTGTTGTGATTTGGAGGTAGGGCGTTAAAATAGAAATGGTTGTTGTGGGTCTTTGGCCGTGTTCTGAAGGTTGTTCTTCCTGATGTTTCGCCAGTCTCTGTGGCCGGCATCTTCAGAGGACTGGAGTAGGAACTCTGTCCATGTTCTGTCACAGCTTATAAATACTATCCAACAAACACCAACAGAGCATGGACAGAGTTCCTAGTCCAGTCCTCTGAAGATGCTGGCCACAGAGACTGGCGAAACGTCCAGAACACGGCCAAAGAGCCCGAAAAAACCACAACAACCATTAGATCCCGGCTGTGAAAGCCTTCGCAAAAATAGAAATGGTGTAGCAGTGTGACAATACCAAAAGGCCAAGCAAAAGCTTCAAAGCATGCTCCAAAGCATTCTGTGTTGAGAGGTATCAGTTTAGGCAATGCAGCTTTAATGCAGCAGCAAACATATATAGAGACCACTTTGTTTCCTTGTTTTTTTTGTGTTTTTTTTTTACAGATGATTGGCTGTCTTTACAGAGCTTGGCAGTGTGGGGATTCTGGGGATTGTAGTTAAAAAAAGTAATTTTCTGGAGTTTTGCTTGCTGTCACACTAAGGGGTGATTCAAGACAGGAGGTAATTATGGTTCCTATGGAGAACCTGCCATACAGGATGTAAGCAAAGAGCAAATCATGGTTTTCTATCTTTACTTTGTCTTTTTAGTGTGGAAGGTCTGATGGAACATTTGTGCAGTTGGAAAATTACATTTGCTTTTTTCAAAGTCTGCTTCCTCCCCTGCAGAGAGGGAGGGCTGCTGTTCTTCAGCTCTGTCACCAACCAAAGAAGCAGGCCCCCAGATCCACAGGGAGGTGGCAGCTGTGTGAGCAAAGACGGCTGCTGCTATTTTGAATTGCCACAGACTTGCATTGGAAATAACTCTTTTGCTGTTCCCAACCCAACAGGAAGATAAGGAAGCTGCTTTATACTCAGTTGGACTGCTTGGTGTGTGCTGTCTGCATTGAACTGTAACAGGTCTTAAGGCAGTTTTTCCTCTACCCTATCTAAAGAGGACAGGGGCAGGACAGGGATTCAACCTTGTGAATGTGAAACACGAGGAGTACAAGTGAACCACGGGGTCTGTTTCTCTCTGAGGCAGGTAATCTGGTGTTTATGTTACCACTCTCACAGATTTTAAGGAGGACAAATTTTGCATATGCTGAAATGGTCCATTAAGATCAATGCTACTGACCCAGTTTACCTTTGTAAACTGAGTTTGATTTTGCAAGCACCAGAGCTGTGTGCTAGTGTTCCTAAGTCAGATACCTAAATTCATGATTTCTTGGAAGTATGTTACTTTCGGCTGGATAGCTCAGTGGTTTAGGTAGTATCTGGCTGCAGAGACAAAGGTTGGGAGCTAAATTCCCCACTGTGCTTCCTGGGAGTAGAGCCAGCCTATGTAGTCTTGGGCAAGCTACACAATCCCCAGTCACTCTCAGAAGAAGGGAATGGTAAACCTCTTCTGAGTATTCTGTACAGTATCTGGAAAAACTTGAAAAGGGTGTCTGTAAGTCAGAACTGACGATGGTACATGATTGATGATATCATTTTCTGTGTTCAACATATAGCATGCAGAAACAATATCAGAAAAGCCAAGGGATAAATTTAAGAAGTTTGTATCTGTATACATTTGATTGTTATCTAAGTCAGTTAGAAATCTTCCTCTCTCTCCTCTCCATGATCTTCCCTTCCTTGATCTCTTCTCTTTTTCACTCACAGACACACATGACATGTACATATTTTTTTCAAGGGTTGCTATACATAAAGGTTCTCTACATAACCTTTATGTATAGAAGATATTCTTAGCAGTTGTGGCACTTTCAAATGAATGTTATATGTAGATTTTATTTTTCAAGTTGATGGGAGGGAACTATACAACCCCTCTTTCTGCACAATATTTACACAGCTGTGGCAAATGGGCACCTGTCAGCTCCCATGATATCCCCAGTGCCACAGTGGACAACTACAATACCGTTACTGATACATGAACTCCCAAAACTACTTAAGATTATTTGCAAGTTGCTCTCCCATGCTGTCATATAGGCTGCTCTTTCCCAACATAACAATGTCTCACTATTTCAGGTGTTTTTTGTTATGTTTTGCTTTGTTTCACTTTCATTTTTGTTGCTGTTTTTTTTGTTGATTCCCTTCCAGCAGAATACAATCCTTAAAATTTATTTTAATTGAACACACACAAGTGGTGAACTACAC